TGGGTGAAAGATTTTTCTATGGACAGTATTTCAGCAAGCTGATAATTTGAACGTTTCTCTAGAAAGTTGCTACAGTGGAGACTACGCAGCTGTTTCCCAGGAGAACAGGAGGCTGCAAACTTATTCCTGTTAAGTAAAGACATTATTATTGGACCTTAGTGTTGTATTCTCTTATATTTCACCTCTGTCTTGATGAACCATAGTTCAAAAGTAGTCCTGATTCATGGGTCTTAGCAAATGGTAAGGAAAAGTATGTTTACCAGAGCTTTTAAACAGGATTAAAAACTTGCAGTGTGAAAATAAACAGCAGAGAATACTTTGTTAGCTACTACCTAGGGAAAAAAATACTGTGCAACTGCTGTACTGTAGAGCAGGAATTCAGGGAAAACTCCATTTCATAAAACATATGTGTATAAATAAAAGATATATCTTTTAAAGCAGCATAAAGTTAAGCAGTAATAGCACCTCTAAAGTAGGCAGGTCCTCTTCCCCGAGGGCTCTTGAAAGGTGGGCTTTGGGTTTTTTTTTTCCCCCTAAGGACGACAACAGCAGCACTGTATTTAACACTCTCATAAGGCGACAGGTTTAATAAGAAATTAGCATCAGCAAACTTTCCAGCCACGCTTCAGTAACTCACACCTTGCAGATTTAAAGCCTGCAAGCACCGCTCATCTAAATGCCTGCACTCACTCGCGCATGTTTCCTTCTTCAGGTTGATGCCTACACGTCATGCGGTCTCGCTTCTTGCAAAATAGGACATTAAGTTCCCAGTTTATCTTTTACTCCATCCATGTTTTTTATGCTTTTTAGTATCCTGAAAATAACGCCAAAGTGCTCCTTCAGCCACCCATCAGATCTGGCGTGCCGTTTTAGTGCGCGTTACCTCCAGGGGGAACGGTCACTGAAATACATCCTGCTAAAGCTGGCCCTTCTGCGACGTGAAGGCTTGTGCTAACAGGTAAAGCAAAGCTCCTGGCAGAAATACAGATAAACTGAAGCTATTTCTTGCACCTCACTCTTTTAGCCCCCCCTTTTCTGCCCCGACACAGACACGCTTAAAATGCATGTGCTTCGCCAACACGAAGGCAGCATCTCTTGCTGCTTTAAATGACCTCCTCAACCTTCTAGACCCAACTTGCTTTTAAAAACCAGTGCCTCACACAAAGCGACTGGTGAGGACTTTCTATTCAGCTTATTTTAAGGATGCCTTAATGCAGCTTTCTCTTACTGTTGAGAAACAAGGAAATACCAAACAGGTTTCAGATAAAAAGCACCAGGAAGGTAGGGAGCAGGCAACAAGGGAGATTTGGAACGAGGCGACAGAAAATGTCAGTGAATCTCCGAGCTCGCGTGTGCCAGTGAAGCGTGTCCTTCTGCTGCATACAGCAAGGCCACACGCTCTGGACAGACAATGTCTGAACCCACAAAGTGCTTTCAGCCAGCCATTTTCAGACCTTTCTCCCATCAAAGCTCAGAGTGAGCAGACACGTTCCAGACTAGAAGCGTTTACCTCAATCATTTTGCTTTCAGAGACACGTAAGGCATCACCATCTTGCATGCTGAGCCACTTGATAAAAGTCATACCTGTGGCATTAGCTTTCCTCAGGCTGGCATTCCTCACCCCTTTTTGTTGGTTTTTTATTTGGAGGCAGAAAGAGAGATCAATTAGTTAACTGCAATGCTAATTTAGTCAGTTTTCTTAGGAACAGATGCAGTATGGGCACACTTCTAACACAAGCTCTACAGATCAAGTACAAACATCTCTAAATAACTCCACGGAAAGACAATTCCTATAAAGAAATGGCTTAAGGGAAGAGATTTCCTTCCCAGAGAAGGACTCCTCCTTGGAGATGGGGGTCTTGAGGTCAGCGGGATACCCTTAATGCTGATGCCACAACTGACCACTTAGTTTAAAAGAAACCTTTCTCCAGCTAAAGATCATAGCGTACTTCCGTTGAATTTCTCGCCGTCAGTGGAAATCTCCCTATGGCTAGAGACGGTTGACAGTTCTTACCCTGGAGTACACTACGCACGGCGCTGCTTGAGTACCACCGGGTAGAGCAGACAAATCCTCTGCGTATCTGCTCTAACAAAGAAAAGGCAGACCCTCAGATTTCCTCTGTGACTGACTAAGTGTCACCTCAAAGACAAAAAGCGAACGTGTTTCTCCTCTCTCTCATGCAGAGAGACACAATCTGTGCCTCGGTGGTTTGTGCTCTGCTCACCTGGATTTTGAAACCAAGCCATCAGTTTGCCTGAGCAGCATTTGTGTTTCATTTAATGCAGCACGCTGCACGCAATGCTGCAGGCAAGGATGGGGTCCAGAAATTAAGATAAAAAGTTGGTCTAACAGGAACTTTGTAACTTGTCTGTGGCATTGTTAATATTTATGCGAGAGGTTTTGAAACAAGCAAGATAAAAATTCAAGTAACCAACTGACGAGTGTCATTCTTCATATTATGCTTTGGACACTATTGTCAATATTACTTTTACATCTCCTTTTCCACTTGGAGCAGGAACACCAGAACAAACCATGATTCTTTCCGACCTCCCTCATGAGAGCTTTGTGGTACCAAAAGCCCAAGGTACAAAACTAACGCACCTTGGGTGGGTACAGCAGAGGACAGGCAAGGGTGTCGTGGCTGCTGAATGCGGCCGGGTGACTACAGCAAACGGTGGACAAAGGTGTGCAGGAACTGGCGTCGGCGCTCACTGGGGCTTCTCAGACCATCACGGATAGCGGGATTACTGGAGCTCAGGTAGTTCTTTTGTCTTGAATTTCAGGTAGTTAAATTTGTTGTACAAAAGCAGCGAGTTTTCTGATAAGCTGGCTTTTTGAAACAAAGCAAGATCAATTTACTGACACAGTAAACTCATTGCAAGCTCAGTTTTAACTGTGAAAACGTCCGAGTCGTTGCAGGTTAACTTTCAGTTTTCTATACCCAGGCTGTTTCAGCTCCTCATCAGCCTATCAATCCTTGTTCAGACTGCGCTATTCACTTCTGGCACGGGAAGGGCAGGCAAGGACTACTGCTTTCCCACTTAATTGGTCCTGATGGATTAGATATTAAAAACCAGACTGAATGTTAAGCAGTATTTTCATGCCCAACACTCCTTACTACGTAAGACACCAGGCACACAGACAAAGCCAGCTAAGCTGTAATTTGTAGATACTGAACAGCCGGTGGCACCTTCTGCCTCCACAACCTGCGACCTGAGTGCTCCTCAGGGACTGGGCATCCCTGCAAGCTCCATCCCGGCAACAACTCCCGATGTAGGCACGTGACCTACACCATTTCATACGTTATTACACCTGACTGTACCCTTAAGCACCCTTTTTTTGTTTGTTTGTTTTAATTTTGACAAGCAACCTGAAATTAGATTTAACCTTTTTGTTAGTGAACAGGGCTCTGGTGTTGAGCTGTAGGCAAGAAGCACAGCCATCTTAGAGGGTTAGAAAATTCATCACTGCAAGAGCACCAGAACCAGCAAGACCTCAGCACAGCACAGCCAGGGGGGCATTAATGGTAAGGTAACATTTTTTGGTCTTTTTCCAGTAATAGTAGATAATAGCTTTACAGTTACAGATTAGAGTAATTTTTGTAAATAGACCTGAGAAGCATCAACTTTACCCTAAAAAGGGAATTTCTTAATCTCAGAGTACCCCCAGTAAAAGCATTTTTAGGTGGTACTACAGAGTACTGTACATATACTTGATCATCCCTGGTATCCTGTTCCACCTCCTAGAACTCACCACAGTAGAAGCAGGGTAAAGGTAGTGTAATTGTGTAGTTGAAAGCAAACCGTAGCAAAAGGCCCCACGACACATCAAGACCCGATCAGAACAACAAAACCTTAACTGAAACAGCAGGACTCAGTCACAAAAACGCCAGCCAAGCTGCTCTCCAAAGGGAGGCCAGTTCACTGGAGTTCATCTGAATTTTTCCCAGTGTCTCCAGTTCTGTTTCGCAGACGTAAAGACCGAGGCAGTGCTGAACAGCCCATTGCTGTAGGCCCCTTCTCTTAAGCTCTGCTCTGTGCTCACCTTGCACCCATCCCTCCTGTTTAAATGCTGACGTCTTTTGAAGACCAGTAACAGCTAGAGGAAATCAGAAAGCTTTAACAGATACGAGATCATACTTAAGACCTGTAGGCTTGATCCTGGAATTATTAAGTGTAGTTCTTTCTAAAACCACTGGACAGCTACTTCGTGTTTCCAGTTGCTTTGTGTTAGTAACACACCTGAGGTAACACCATGTTTGAGGGGCAAGCCAAGGAAAGCAAGTTTTGTCCGGATCCAATAAATCCAGAGGTGGAAAGGGACGGTGACTAACGCTACAGCACATCTTTCAATGTCAGTCCCTTCCAATTCCCTAACACGTTGTTCCTGGAGAAGAAAAATAATCACATTTTCAGTAACGGTGGCATGGAGCAACCATTCTTCAACCATCCTGCAGAAAAGTCTACATCAGCAGAAAGGACTGTGGAGTTTACTGCATCAGACCATGCGGAAGATGCAAACTCCGAATTAATCCCAGGTTTAAGTTTGGAGACGAATACTGATACACTTGACGATATCAAAGATAGCTCTGTAATTCATAGCTGGATATCTAAGCTTCATGTGGCATTTGGCTTTTAGCAGTTTTGATTAAAGAAACAGCATTTATGTAGCTTTTAAGCACTTTTCATTAGAAATAGAAAAAGTGTTGGACTTGCTCTAAACTCCAGTCAAACACCAACACCTCCCACCCTCCAGTAAGCACAACTTGGCTCTAAATAAGCGTTCCAGTAGGATGAGCGGGGAGGCAGGGAGGTTAATCTCATCAGACTTGGTAACGTAACAGGATTCATACTGAGCTGTACCCACAGACACCTGCTGCTGCTGCTGCTGCAGTACAAAGCGGGTGCGAGAGGCAGACCCTGCCCGCTGCTGCCCTGGGCCAGCCCAGCTGGGTTTGTGACCACCTAATAAAAGAAGCAAGGGAGCCCAACCAGTTTGGGCCAAAAAATCCCCCATTCATACACACGGACCTAATTGTGAGTGCTCCTCTCACCTTGTTCACCCAGGTGCTCCTGCACAGCATAGCCTGGCTACGGAAAAGCCTTGAGAGCCACTTGTACCTGTGGGTATCCCGTGTCGTCATCCACCCCTGCGCCGGGTCACTTCCTGGCTGCTGGTCCGAGAGGTAGAGAGGAAACCGCCCCTCGCTGGGGGGGTTTTACCCGCTCTGTCTCCATATCGTCCTGCAAGCACCAAGCAGCCAGCTGAGCCTTGAATGCCTGGAACCCCCAGGCTGCAACTTCAATGAATTCTCAATTAAAGAGCTGCTCTCTTTCACATGCCTCTGGAAGAACGAAGCGCGACTATTTTGGAGTAGCAATGGAAATAAACGCTGCCTCCGACCAAGGGCACGGTTCACGCTTCTGAGATCGTTTCAGGTTCTGCGGAGACAAGCAGCACCATGAACGCTGCCTCCGACCAAGGGCATGGTTCACGCTTCTGAGATCGCTTCAGGTTCTGCGGAGACAAGCAGCACCACACCAGTCTTGAAAAAGGTATTCCACGTTCCCGCGCTATCTGCATCGGCACAAGAGCTCAGCCGCTGCCGTGTGGGGAGGTGGGACACGGCATGCAGCAGGCCAGCGGCCGGCTGCAAAGGAACCAACTGCTGCCTGGCACAGACAGAAAGCCACTGCAGCAAGGCCTGTTTGCACAGTTTATTAGACAACAAAGAAAAATCCTCACTGAGCCCAAGTTCTGTAATTCAAAATTTGTTTGGTAGAGAACGGTTTTAGACACTGCAAGATTTTCGTCAGAATGCCTTATCCCTCCTACAACCAAGACTAACAACAGACAGCTTCAAAAAATCTAAATCCACACCCAAATACAAAATTAAACATATAGCATGTAAGTCTTTAAAAACAAACTCTTTATTATACAACTCGCAGTAAATTCCCTAAGGACACAATATATTACAGAGCTGTATTTGTACGAAGGAACTGAATCGGCACACAGACTGGTACGAGGACAAAAGGGATTCGGGAGAGAAACGCGCTTTTGTCAAAGTGGAAAGAATTCAGTGAAATTTCCGTCACTACCAGCCGCCCCTCCCCGGATCCCCATAGCCTCCTCTGTAGCCACCGCCTGCTCCTCGATACCCTCCTCCTCGATGATAGCCTCCCCCCGGGCTACCTGGGCATCCTCTTCCTCCCGAGCGCCTGCCGGCATAGCTGTAGCCACCGTACCCTCTACCTCTGTAGCCAGAGCCGTGCGAGTAACCTCCCCAGCCTCGGAGGCCACCTCCATTGTCGTAGCGAGCCATTTTGGGGGGGCGAGGGCCATCTCCGAACCTGGCAAAGAGAAACATTACATACTTGATGCAATCTTCCGGATTCCAATTTTTTTTAAATATTACAGGAATAACCAATTGCCAAGATACTCAGTCAAGACGCCTCTATTTTCTGTTAACAGAATACGACGTTTCAATGACAGTTGCACTTTTGCACCTTTTCCACTTCAGTAAAGGAAAGCTGGGAACGGCCTGCCATGCCACATACGCAGTCCCTCCTTTAAATCTTGGACAGCTCTACACCTAGGATAGAAAGTTTTCCCCTCAATCCCACTTCTCCAGCTCACACAAATGTGCAGGGGGCCCCGTTCCTGTTTATAAGAGCACAGCAACCTGTATTTTGCTCCTCGCAGACCACAGTGAAGCATACATCAAAGCTGTTCTTTGTTTTGTTCCTTAAATTACTAACAGCTCACAGGTGTTCTCATTTTTCTTTGCTTCAGAAGCAAGACGTGAAAACAAACGGAGGGGTGCAAACGCAGCCAAATTCTGTTTCATTTCCAGAGACAAAGATGAATAGGTTTGCCCCAAATAAATTTGGATTATCTTTTCTTTAAGAGTCATTGTGTTTTGGAAGAGGCGATGACAGCTTTTACTCCCGAGAGCCGCTCATCCTTCCTGTGGCAACAGGCAGTGACCCATCTACATCAGACTTTGAACGTGACAATTTTACATACGCTCAGAGCATTGACTTTGAAACGAAAGCCTCAGGCTCCTGCCCACACGGGACGAGACGCTCCTGCTGATTTTAGCTCTGGACTTTTGCAACTACTGTGCAGGGAGGGAGCAGCGGAGCTGACAGCTCTGACCTGCTCTGCTCAGGCTCTCAGCGTCCTTGGGGACAGAGGCGGTGAGCGCTCTGACTGCCCAAGCCAAGGGAGCCCAGCTTACCTTGCTTTGGCAGCCAGGAGACTGATGCCCGCGGCCGACGGCCTGGAGATCTGACGGATCGCATTCAGCATTCGCTCGTTTGCTGGGTCCAGCTGCTGAATGATCTCAGGATCTTTAGTCACTTCCACAACGAGAGCCTCCATCGCAGCACGCAGAGTGGTGATGCAGGCAGCCACATTGTGGGGCATCTTCAGCTTGATCCTAGAGCACAAAGAAGTATATGAGATGTATTATGAGTTCTAGGAGAGAATCTGTTACAAAAGGTGTTCTGCAGAGTGGCTTTTCATTGAGTGCTGCACACGCTCAGCCAGAAATCTGGATTTTCATCATTGAAATTCTAATTTGTCAATGAAGGGGTGTGAAATCCAGGAGGCAAATTTGAAAGATCCCTAAAATGAGAAATGTGACGTTGTTAAAACATAACTATCCTTCTGTTTAAATTTGCTCTGGAGATTTAACATACTCAGATAACACCAATACATAACTCCTAGTGTAAAGACAAAAAGATACAAAAATATAAAGTAAACTAAAAACATGAGGCTTCTCAAGATTTTGAAAGCTCCAGGCCACTCTCACAGATATTCATGAAGGGAGCTTAAGCAATTCTTCACCTCCATTTTACTGACCAGGGGGGCAAGAAAAACCAAACCAAAACAAAGAGACATCCAGATGGTATTTGGTTATGGCCATAAAACGTACACTGCCAGAGGCAACTATTTCTCTCCTCAAGCTGTGTTTCCGAGGCTTAAAACCAAGGTTTCCTCAGCCTCTGTCTGAAGAGGAGTTCGAAAATACAGAGTACCTCTTATTCACGTTCCAGTTAAAGGGGGGAAAAACAACAGTTTTTATGGAAACTGCCTGGTATCATGTTTTCAAATTTAAGCAGATAATCTGCACCAGACAGTGCTGCCAATACAAACCCCTCCCTTCCTCATAGGAAACAAAGGTAACGCCTTCACAATTAACGTGTAGAGCACGGATTGCTCAAGGGTTCCTATTCTACAGAGATTCATGTCTGCGTTAGCAGCCACTCCCGCTCCGTCCGTGTTCTTTCATAGACCCGAATGTCACGAGCACCAAAGAGGTCCGTACCAGTCATCTACCAGAACGAGCTCCCCATCCGACAGGACTTTCTTGGAGGCAAAGAGAAGCAGCTGCAGCGGGCTCACCAAGGTCATTGCTTTGGCAGAGATGGCTCGAGTTCGGATCTGCAGGTGAAAGAGGAATATGAGTCTTGAAATGGAAAAGAGAGTCCTACACCTTCCTTTAGCCACTGAAACCAGAGAATTTTGCTTAAAAGCAAAGCAAAACAAAACAAAAAACCCCCACACAGAAAATCTAGGTATGTTAGGAAATTACAAGAGCATATGCGCATATCAAATTGAATGCTAGGCAGATGTTTACAGGGATTCAGCACTGGCTGGTTTTAAAAAAAACAAACAAACAAAAAAACCACACCACAAAAAACTACCTGCCATTTAAAAGTATGCGTTTGTCCAGGACTGCATGTCTGCAATTATGCAGCTGACATTTTGCAAGAGCCATCTCATGCTTTGCCAACCTAAAAATGAGCAAGGCACAGCCAAATTGCCTTCCTGCCTTTTGCACTGCTTGGGGCCGTGATGAAGAGCTCGTTGCTTCTTTAGCAGGGTTCTACA